GCTTTGTCCTTCATTTCTGTAATATGATGTCATAATATCAATCTGTATTGTCCTTAGAACGGGCAAATATAAAATAATATAGAAAATATGTATATATTATATAATATTTAATATGTACATACATGCACATATTCATTACATATGTTATACATATAGTACTTTTCTCTTTTATTTAAACACAGACATACATAATACACAAAACAAATCAGAGAATTAAACATATAGCCAAAAAAAATCAGACATCATATATGGTTAAACAGGTAGTAGATGCTCAATAAATATTTGTTGAATTAATGAGTGAATCAATTCATAGTAATATTTCCCAATCCTCATCTCAAAAAAAATCTCCACTCCAGATAACTCAAAGTGCCTCTTCTATATGCTGTGTGTTTTCTCTTGTTTATCTCAGAAGATCTTATCTGAACCATTTCAACATTCTCTATAAACGATGTTCACATCCTGCTTAAAATATCAGAACTCATGCAAAGTCTCCATTGCTCTGGCTGACTGAAACAACTGCTCTTCTCTGAGTATTCCGGCATTTTGTTTTATCCCGTTATCTTCTGAGAAGAATCTTTAGGATTTTAAATTGTTACTTGACTTTAACACTGTTATTTTTCACTTTTTTAAAAATCTTCAACTGAATCAGTCTTAGGGTTTTTTAGTCTTTTGCGGGTGGGGGCCCGGGAAGTTTATCTGACAATGTCCAAGGGTTCAAGGGCTGCTGCTCCTGGCTTTGAGGATTATGTAGTGCCTAGCCTCTAATCAAGTGTTCCTATAGGAAACCTGTTCTCCAGCCCATTAAGCTATCTCTACTGCCCCAAGCCTTAGTTTTTGGAGTTTTTACTGTGCTCCACTAAGAGCACATATCTCATAAATGTTTAATTCATTAATATGCTAACTGCAAAGAACTCTTAAGTATTATTTTTATGTGGCAAAATGAGGAAAGGATGATAAGTAAATTTTTCTTAACTTCTCCTGCCTACTTTATATGCATATCTTGTTTAGTTCTCACAACAAATTTATTAGGCAGGTTTTATCTCATTTATGCATGAGAAAACTCAAGCTCGGAATTACTCGATCAGGGGTATGCATCTTTTAAGTAGGGAAGCTGGGACTTTAAGCAAAGATTTAACTAAAAAGGTCATGTGTTTAAAATTATTCCGCACTAAATAATAACACTTTTAGAAGAATATACAGAGAGGTAGTCTCAGGACTTTGAGATAAATGTTTCTTCAATAGTAGATGAAAGGAAGTCTCTCTCTTGGGGAATAGGAAAGGTTAGGGACATATAATAAAAACAAAAAATAAACAACACTTCTATTTATGTAAATATATAATTTAAAAGACAAAAGATCAAGTCATGAATCTAAGAAAAAAGCTTGCATCCATAAGACATTAAATACTCCTATAACTGCTAAGAAACAATCCAAAAAACTTTTGAAAACTGAGTAAAAGAATTAAGTATTCCTCCTTTACAAAAGAGGAATTTTAAAGGTTCACTCAGCATATGAAAGTCAAGTCATTATTTATTAAGCAAATTAAAAACCATGATGACCAGTACCAGCTGAAATGGCTACATTTTAAAACAACAAACAATACCAAGTGCTAGCAAAGATGTGGAGTAACTAGAATTCAAATAAAGTTTCTTGTGGGAGTATAAACTGGTCTAGCCACACTGGAAAATTGCTTGGGAGTTTCTTTCAAAGCTAAAAATAACAACTTCAACTACTCTAAAACCCAGCAGGTAAAATGTGAACTAAATTGGAATTTTGGTAGTCAAAATATGTGCACAGGAGACATTACAGTAGTTTCATTCATTAGAACCAGGCTCTAACAACCAAAATGCCAATGACAGCTGAGAAAATAAGTATATATTTTGTATAGTCATACAATGACACATCAATAGAAAACAAAAAATAAATAAATAAAAGGAACAGCAATGAAAAAATCTTGCAAAAGAAACTAGACACAGAATGCACATTCTGTTCCATACTATTGATATTACTCTGTAAAAAAAAAAGTCAACATTTGTAACTTTTACTGTAACTGTTTTTACCTCTATTGTTGGGAGTGGGGAGGTGCTAATTGATTGGGGTGGAGTGTGAGTAAAGGGGAATCTATTAGGATGCTAGAAATATTCTAGACTTTTTTGGAGGGGGTTACATGTCCTCTATTATCCCTCTCTGTAATATATATGTCATTATCCCTCTAAAATATATATTTACATATCTCTGAATATTTGTAAAATCTATATGCTACATCTCAATAAAAGCAACAAATAAGCAAAACCTAACTTTTGCATCCCAGTGGGGTTAACATTAGGTAAAAGGAAAATAACAAAGTAAAATGGATTTTTTTTTTACATTTTATGAAAAGTTCTCCATTTATATTAAGGTAGGAGAAGAAACATATGTCTGTTGCACTTACAGGCTTTTATTTATCAGACAATAAAACCATTAATCCTGTCACATTTTGCTTAAATCAGGAAGGACACATGAATTTGTTCCCAAATTAATCACTCCCCTGACTTGGTTTTGGGTCTGTTCATGTACCCTCCTACTTTGCCTGACTCCCCAAACTCCAGCCTCACTTACACTGTACATATATATAAATGTCTTTCTCTGACTCAGACCTTTGTTGGGTACAGGTAAGGGCATAAGACAAATCACAAGAAAATAAAGAAGGTACTTTAGATAGAGGTTGAAATGCTATAGAAAGAAGAGGTGCTCAGAGCCTGGATATTTGGTTCGAGTTTAATCCTGTTTTTTTTCATCTGTATGATGATCAACAGACCCATTAAGTTCTAGAAACTCATCTTCTCTCCTCTAGAACTTGGATGCCAAGGGCTCATCTCACAGGTTGTGATTATTTCAGCATTGCAATGGGGCTTTACCTGTCACAATGGTAAAGATCTGAGTTCCTTGAGGAAGATCTAAGCATCTCTGTCACTGCTTGAGGATTTCCTTGCTCTTCATCTGTCATATTTTCTCTGATGTGTATTTCATTTTTGGAACTTAGTGGGTGATCGCCCTGATGGAAACAAACTCCCTGCTATCAGGGAAGACTCAACAGAAAACTTCATGTTTCTTAAAAAGGTTGGCAAATCTCAGCTCTACCATGTATTTTCTATCCTTAGAGATAAAGCCCTAGGCCACCCTCTGTGTCTGACCACAGAAGAAAGAGATGGGAAGCAGCTTGAATGACAAAATGAGTAAGATTCCAACAGAATAGAACTAGTTTTCTTTCTCCATCCCTCAACTTTCTTAACTATTAATTCCCTGTAGTAATATGTATGTATAATTACATATATTGCTCGAGCGGGCCCAGTAACGTCTCCATTGGAGACTTTGTTGTTACTGTGTCTGGCATATCAAATACTCTCGGTAGCTTGCCGGGCTCTCCGAGAGGGGCGGAGGAATCGAACTCGGGTCGGCCATGTTGGCCGCTTGTAAGGCAAACGCCCTACCCGCTGTGCTATTGCTCCAGCCCATATATACATTTATGTATATATAATTACATATATAATGTATGTATGTATATATTGTAGTCAAATACGCAAGATCCTGGACAATAATATAATAGACATTGATGTTTTTCCTACCCTTTTGGTGAAAGTTGACCAAAGAGAAGTTGACATTAGATTCTCTTTCTTTAAAGAAAAAAAATTAAACCTTTGAAAGCTGGAGGGTACAGTACAGTACAGAGGGTAGGGCACTTGCCTTGGATGCAGCTGACCCAGGTTCAATCACCAGCACCCCATATGGTCTCTTGAGCTCACCAGGAGTGATTCATGAAGTCCTTTAGTTGTGGCCCCAAAGCAAAATTAAATCTTCCAGGTAGAGCTGACATGCTTGGTCCTGCTCTTCCTTTTTTTTTATTTTTATTTTTTATTGAATCACTATGAGAACAGTTACAAAGTTTCAGGTTTAAGTCTCTTTCATACAATGATCAAACACCCATCCCTTCACCAGTGTACATTTTCCACCACCAAGAACCCCAGTATACTCCCCATCCCACCCCTCCTCCTGCCTGTGTGACAGATGATATTCATTTTACTCTCTCTCTACTTTGATTGCATTCAATTTTTCGACAGAAGACCTACCATTATTATTTGGAATTTTCTCCAAATATTCAGACCTTCTGAGAAGCCATCATTAGATAGTTTGTTTTCTATTGCTGATAATGAAGAGCATATTGGATTTAGTAATTAAATCCAGAGGGATTTCTGCCAGAAGCCGCTGGGTTCCGAGATTGGTTTGTGTCCCTCTGGGAACATGGCCATTCAGGAGCCGGAGGAGCCGTTTGTGGGCAGCAACTCGGGGTCTCGTCGGGACGGGGAGAAGGGTCGGTTCCAGCTCCCATCCCATGAGGCCCAGCATGTCTCATCACTGCAGGCTCATAACTCTCTGTCCAATAAGCTCTGGAAGATGGCAGTCACCATGCCGCTGCTGAGGGGAAAAGACAGAAGGGACAACACTCTTTCCCACAGGGGGTGGCCCGAGGTTGTAGCTTAATTCACAGTCCAGAAGCATTTGTGTGCCTCTGGGATCGTGGCCATTCAGGAGCCGGAGGAACTATTCATGGGCAGCAACTTGGAGTCTCGTCACGGCAGGGAGAAGGCTGCCCTTCCGTTTTATCTCTATTCTCCCTGAAAGTCCTTTTCTTCTAGGGTTGGTATTTTCCAACTATTTTCCAGCAGTCTTTTGTTTCATTAAAGGCAATTCCCATTTACTATTGTTTGTGATATGGTTAAAATGATATAAAATCTATCCACCCATACCCATCCCTTTCCAAGTTATTTTTCTCATTTATCATACTGTAGATCGATTCATACATTTTAACTACTATGTACCATACCTTTTTATAAATTGACATTGATTTTTCTATACTCCAACTAATAATTAGATTTCCCTCCTTTCATTTTTAACCAGTTCAATTGTGCTGTATTGAATATCCTTGTTTTCTTCTGCATGTGAATTTTTATTTTTTAAGGAAGAATCAGGTAGGAGTGATTAGGTGTCATGAGCCCTAATAATGGAGAGACCTTAATCATGAATCATGCAAACTCCAATTATCATGTTCTATCTGCCGGGCTAGAGCGATAGCACAGTGGTAGGGCATTTGCCTTGCACACAGCCAACATGGCCGACCCGAGTTCGATTCCTCCGCCCCTCTCAGAGAGCCCGGCAAGCTACTGAGAGTATCTCACCTGCACGCCAGAGCCTGGCAAGCTACCCGTGATGTATTCTATATGCCAAACACAGTAACAACAAAGTCTCCAATAGAGACGTTACTGGGCCTGCTCGAGCAAATCGATGAACAATGGGAGGGCCTTTACCTTTACCTCGAGCAATCTGCCATCTGAATAGAGGAACAGGTAAGGATTATCCTGCCTGACAACTCTCCATTTTACTGGGTGGTGCTATTGGTTGACTGAATGAGTTCAACATACATTTACTATTTTACCATACCATTGATGAAAATATAAAGAAACATACATAAATTTCATCTTTTATGAAAACCCAATGCCACTAGGCCCTTGTATGCCCATCACCAAGCCATTACTGATGTAGACTCCCCAATTCACCCATATTAACCAAAGGGATGACATGGGTTCAGAGAACTCCAAGTCTCTGCTTCATTGCTGCATCTAGTCTTTCTCTTAAATTATTGATGCCAGACATGCTACATATTTTGACTTCTGTCTAGAGGGTGGTTATCTTTACTTATGACCTTACACAGGCATTCTTGCTGTACTAATTCTTCTCCTCCAGGTTTATTTTTGCTCTTCATAATTTGTAACATTCAAAGCAGTATCTAGATTTACAAGGAAATGGTCCAAACACAGTGCTTGTCAAACTCGAATGTGTATATGAAACATCTAAGATTATGTTAGAATGAAGACTGATTTAGAAGATCTGGGGTGGGTTAGAGAGTCTGCATTTCTGAAAACTTGCTGATGGTATCAATGTTGCTGGTCTGGGACATTTGGAGGAGGTAGGATCTTACCAGCTTGTGACTAACACTGCTCTGATACTGACCTAGTTCTGCCAAAACTCAGCCCAATGTTACACCAACTTTTGACAAGTACTTTTCACAGTAGGAAAATATACTAGGTTATTTCAAGAATGGATGAGATTAAGCTATCATTTATTCATGGGTACAAATACATACAAATGCATACACCTGTATTCATATTAATTAGGAGGCTAGTGATGTTGCATCTTGGTTGTTACTCAACCAGAGTAAAAGTGAGTATAGAAGTTATACACAATATATTTCTAATGATGCAGCCAAATTTCTGTGAACTTGCCTGAAAGTCCATTGCTAGATCAAAGTCACCTTATCCTAAGCTAAGATTCTGAGACACACCATTATGTTTCATTTATTTCTTTTACAGAATCTTCTGGGTGCCCATTAATGTCCTTCAATAATGAGATACTGATGATGCTAATCTTCTTCCTAATAGCCTGATTCATAGATGTTACAATGCAAACATGTCTTTGTTTTTCTGCCACACGTGCAAACATGCAGTCAGAGCATACACAAAAGCTTGTACTTTTTTGGTGAATGGTAAAATATTACTGAGGCACTCTCAAAAAGGATTGCCATTACCTTGAAGGGGTTATTTAAAATTAATCTGACACAGTACCAGCAACAGAAATCAACCAATCTTCTAGTTGGAAACAGACAACCAAATTCTCTGTTCAATGTCTTGACCTTGAAGTTAAATGGAGCTCTGAAGCGAGGACATTGCTAGAAAGGAGTATACGCTTTAGGGACTCATTTGATCCTTATTCATCAAGTGCCAACCCATATGTGCTTAAATACTGGTGAATGCATACCATTAGCAGAAATTATTTCTAGCATCTTGTATGCTAATAAACAAAGTCTCTAGATATAGGTAAAGATAGGAAGAATTGACTGATGTGAATACTTCTCTTGACTCCTGATGCTCAAAGGGTCTCTCAAATGCTACCCTCTGGAGTGTGTATTATATTCTAGGGCACTTCAAATGTTTAAATAGCAGTTGTTCTCCTAGTGTGAATGAATTTAACATTTTATATATATAAATGTTATATATTTAACATCATATATAAATGTTACATATATATATTTATATATAGCGGGGTTTAAATGAGGATGTTCTAAAACAAATTCATTTATACAATAAAATGAATTCCTCCCTTCCTGCCTTCTCTCCACTTTCCTCTCCCTCTTTCCTGCTCATTTTTGGTAAACTGAAGAATGTCAGTTTCATGCAGAACAACTGCATCTTGCAATACATATAATTTCACTGAAAATTTAAATTCGGAGACAATTTTGTACTGCAAAATCTTTCTTCAGTTATATTGCCACCTGTGATTCTCTCTTCTTGGACCCTGTTCCCTCCCTTATGGAATTTCAAATGACTATGCTGTGTATGCTACTTCCCAACACTCCATTAGTTCTTAACTTGCAAACCAAAACACCAAGAGGCTTTGCAAAACAAAGACTCCTGCAGAAAACAGAACCTGGCCTCATTCATTGGAGGCTTTCTGTAGAAAATCTTTAGTGACTTTAGGGATAGCACAGTGGTAGGGTGCTTGCCTTGCAAACCACCAGGCCTAGCCAGGTTCAATTCTGCCCCTCTCAGAGAGCCCAGCAAGCTACTGAGAGTATCTGGCTCGCACAGCAAAACTACCTGTGACGGACTTGATATGCCAAACACAGTAACAACAAGTCTCACAATGGAGATGTTACTGGGCCCACTCAAGCAAATTGATGAACAATGCGAGGACAGTGCTACGGTGCTTAAGTGACTTAAACATGTCCTGGAGGTCTCTATTTCTCCTTCTGGTTTTTGTTTCAAATACTTCTCTGATACAAATATAATGTTCTCCTTAAGAAGACCATTGGTAAAGAAAAATTTCTCAATTGCATTATATGTGAAAATATACTAATTTCCAAGAAGTCTGTGTGTGTGGGGGGGGAGGGGGTTGGGGTTGGGGAAGGAGGGAGTGTGTCTCATAGATGCAAGGCAATTGGTCTACTACTGAGCTACATCCCTTGCTCAAAAAAATACAGTATTTGTTTTGCATTGCATCCTGTGTTTGGGGATCTACTCTTGACTCAATACTTGGAAATTGTTTCTGGTGGTCTTGGATAGTGCATCTTGGTTGTTACTCAATTAAGAGTTAAAGTGAGTAATTATATCCAATGTGCTTCTAATGATGCAGCCAAGTTTATATAAATATAATTTATGTTTTTTATACTTTATAATATGTTTATATCTATACACATACATATATTAATAATTATTATTAAATCATGAGCAACATCCAAACTGTATCTTATCTTAAATATAGACATTTTTCCTCCACTCTCAATAGAATGCAAGTGCTTGACATGAAATAATTATAAATTACTATCAGGGTTTTCATGCTTCTGATTTTTTCCTACTCTTCAGTGCCTTTTTCTTTTCTTTTTGGGTCACACCCAGCGATGCTCAAGGGTTATTCCTGGCTTTGCACTCAGGAATTACTCCCAGTGGTTCTCAGGGGATCATATGGGATGCTGGGAATCGATCCTGGGTCAGCCGCATGCAAATGCCCTACACATTGTATTATAGCTCCAGCCCCTCCAGTGCCTTTTTCACTTAACCAAATTCAGCTTCATTGAGATAAACAAATAAGATTATAAAATATTTAAAATATGTGTGTCAGATTGACTTGCCATATGTATATATAATGTGAGGACTCCCCTCATCTAATTAATATATCCTTCACCTCAAATGCTGTTTAGAAAATAATTTACATTCTGTTTTCTCAATACATCTCAATTATATATTACAATGTTATCAACTTCAGTTACCACACTTTACACTAGATCTTCAAGCTTCATTTATAATATAAACTGAAGGTTTGGACCTTTACCAATCATTTCCTAATTCCCCCACCCTCATTGGCCCCTTAAATCACTTTTAACTCTATTTCTCTGACTTTGACCTTTCATCTTTAGATCCTCATGTAAGTGAGACCATGGCTCAAGTTTCATTTGGCATATTGCCCTCATGATCTACTCATTTGGCACAAATGGCAGGCCTTCCTTCTTTCTCACAATAGAATGATTTTTTACATAAATGGAATACATGTGAAGATGGACTAAAAAGATGTTCTTAGATATAGTTATAGATATAAAGGTTATCACACACCTTTTTATCCATCTATTGCTCCATGGAAAACTCATTTTTATATCTTGGCTATGGAATAAACATGGAAATTCCCAAGTAAACATGAAAGTAAAGATATTGCATTCATGCCTCTTTTCAATACCTTTGACTATACACCTAGAAGCTGAATTGCAGGGTCATATTCTTGACTTCTTTTGTTTTTCTTAACTTTACACTTTTAGAATTATAGACCTCCACTTGAGTTGGAAATTTTTTTGGAAACTAACCCCAACCATCCCTATTGCCCCATCTTGTAACTCTGTATCTGAGAAGCTGAAAGGCCTCAGAAACACAAGGATTTATGGCTTACAAAATCTTTCTCCTCAGCATTGAGCCCAGCTCTAATGACACCCTTAGGAGAGCTTTACTTTTCTTTGGGGTCCTGGTAGACGGTGGTCAGGTTGACCACATGACAAACTCTCGTATGCTCTTTTATTCTTCCTGGGTACTCTCTCAGGTCCCCAAAGCACAATCCACAATGACATCCAGGTTTGTGTTCATCTGCATTTTCAGTAATCCTTAGCTATCACCTCAGATTTCATTGTGGTGCAGTCCAACAGAGTGATGGAGGGCTGTACTTGGAAGTGAAGAGACATCCCCTGTCTGCTCATAAGGATTGAGAAAGCCTGCCTGTGTCTGAGACTTCCTCAGAAAAGAGGATGGATCTCTGCTAGCATCACCGCTGGATATGTAAGTGGATGCTGGACCATGACTGTTTGAATAAACAATGATTTCAACTCTCAATTTCACCTTCTGCCAGAGACCCTAGTGAGTGATTCCCACATGCGAATCCAATAATGCAGTCCAGCCCATTTTGCTTTCACAGTTGTCTCTGGCGCTTTGATCCATGTTTCACCTTTCACTTCCCATACAGGTACCCCAGTGCTTGGAGGTCAACTTGAAGGCATGGCTGCTAAGAGAAATA